CAAAATGTACATGGTACTGTACGTAAGTCTCACATCTGTGTCTGAGTACATGGTACTGTACCGTTTTAGTTCCAGTCAATGATTAGCTGTGTAACCTGAGGCAAACCACTTATCTTTTTTGTGCCTCACTTTCCCTGTCAGTGAAATGGGAAAAGCTCCAAGAACTAAATGTAATTCTTGAAAACACATTGTCTTTAAAACATTTGTGCAGTCAGTAAAGTATAAACTGTTAATATACATCATGACCTTCAGTGTGTGTAGCAGAGGTGCATTACACAACATCAGATATTTAAAATGTTCAGCAAAAACTCTGCTTTGGAACACTTCTGACAGCAAAGGGTTCTGTGAGAGCTAGCTATTACTCTAGAATCTTCCTCTTGATTTCTCCTTCCTTCCCCTAAACTCTAGCTTTGCCTTCACTGCCAAAAAAAAAAAGTCACGTATTTATTGCAAGATAATTAAAGCTGCCCTGCGGTAAAATCCTATTGAAGACAGGGCACTTTTAGTTTTTACCACAAAGTAAACTAAGCAAGTTCTAACACTGACCTCACTCAGCCACTTCATAGAATCACAGAATACTAGGACTGGAAGGGACCTCGAGAGGTCATCTAGTCCAGTCCCCTGCCCCCTGGCAGGACCAAATAATATCTAAACCATCCCTGATAGACATTTATCTAACTTACTCTTAAATATCTCCAGAGATGGGGATTGATGGGGATTCCACAACCTCCCTGGGCAATTTATTCCAGTGTTTGACTACCCTGACAGTTAGGAACTTTTTCCTAATGTTCAACCTAAACCTCCCTTGCTGCAGTTTAAGCCCATTGCTTCTTGTTCTATCCTCAGAGGCCAAGATGAACAAGTTTTCTCCCTCCTCCTTATGACACCCTTTTAGATAGCTGGAAACGGCTATCATGTCCCCCCTCAGTCTTCTCTTTTCTAAACTAAACAAACACAATTCTTTCAGCCTTCCTTCATAGGTCATGTTCTCTAGACCTTAATCATTCTTGTTGCTCTTCTCTGGATCCTCTCTGATTTCGTAGCAAAAACAAAAAGTGCCTTGACTTCCTGAGATCTTACAGTGAGATTTCTATCATTTCTGTCAAACAAATCTCTTTGTAGTGATAACTAGGGGTGTAAAATCCTGATTAAACAGTTAGCCACTTAAATGTAAAGTTAACTAACCTACTAATTAATCGATTAAGTGGGATCCCAGGTGGGTGACCACTTCAACTTGGCTGGAGCAGCCTCCGGACTGCAGAGCTCCCATGCCCAGCCCTGTGTGGGGCTGGCTTCAGGTCTGGCCTTACCATGAGGGGAACTGAGGCGGCTGCCTTAGGTGCCAGCCTGTGGGGGGGGCACCACTAGGACCCAGATTGTAGAAAATTGTGTCTGCTGCTGGTGCATATGTATTCTCTTTGCATGAGAGGAATAGAACAGGAAGAAGGCAGAATTGAGACCTTTCAAAGTTTTGGCCCAAGCGAGGGGGGAATGGGGGCATCATTTGAGCTCCCTGCCTCAGGTGCCAAAATGTTGTGGATTCTATGCTGGGGCTGGACCTATCGCAAGCTCCTTGCCTCAGCCCATGGCAGGCTGTGGGTGGGCTTGCTCCTGGCCACCAGTAAACTGTACCTGGTTAGCATCACCCAGTAAGGTGTATCATAGGCAGGAGTGGAGAGCAGAGGGAGAGAGGTGGAAGGTAGGAGCCGGTGCTTGTGGGGAGCTGGCTTTTAAGTCAGCTTTCTGGGGACAGGTGGCTCCACGGGACCCAGCATGGAAACACATAGCTGCTGAAAATTTCAGCAATTACACATTTACCAAATAAATCCATTTTAACATCCCTAATACAGGATCAACTGCTTCACCTAAGACAGCACTTGGCATGTAGTAAGACTCAGCAGCATTGGGTGGGAGGATGGAGAAAGGTGTTTGTGGATTTAAAAAAAAATATTTAAAAGTTCATCAACTTAAAAAGCACATGTCTCCGAATTAAAAAGTCAGTCAGTTTTACAAAGGATACAACAGGATAGAGAAAAAAAATTAGGAATATTTGTTTGTAAAGACACAAACGTTGGAAACTCTACCTAGAAGCAGAAATATTGCCTGAAAATACTTTTAACTCTGATTATTTTTGGTGCTGGTCATATCCATCAGATTCATTTGTGGAAACTGTGGATTATGTGTACAGGCAGTCCCCGGGTTACGTACAAGATAGGGACTATATAGGTTTGTTCTTAAGTTGAATTTGTATGTAAGTCGGAACTGGCTCCAGATTCAGCTGCTGCCACTGAAACTGACCAGGGGCTGACTACAGGAAGCCGGAGGCAGAGTTGCTCTGCCCCCAGCTTCCTGGAATCAGCCTGATCAGTTTCAACAGCTGCTGAATCTGGAGCCTGGGACAGAACAGCTGGGGCGCTGCCCGGTTGGTTCCCACAGGACCAACCCGGCAGCACCCCAGCTGCTCTACCCGAGGCGTCCAGCAACAA